AAGATGTCAGTCCACAAAGGAAATGTGTAAACATAGAAGATATAGAAGATAAGAATGAGAAGAAAAACACAGACTACTCAAATGTGATTGTGTAATTATTATAAGAGAATTGATAAAACTATTTAAAGCATTAACTTTGCATCTATCGTATTTTTTAATCTGAGATCTTTGAAAAATTCTAACTATTTATGGCTCAGGATTTTTTCTTATAATGCAATAATTCTGGAGGCTATAATAGATTTGAAATATGTCAAATTGGATTTAAGTCATCACTATGAACATGTACTATTCAATAAATTCACTACAATTAAGCCAATAAATTTAATTACTGTTAGTTTTACACCTATTTCCTTTACTGTATTTCATTGAAACAAATGAAGTTTCTGTAACATATCTTCAATATCTTGTGCCTTTTTCAAAATTTTAACATATCCCTTACATCTAAATTGTTATGTGTTGTTATAATACTTTCAAAGGTTGAAACAGACTGAGAAAGTCTAAATAATTTGTTAAAGTTGCCCAATAAGTAGGTGAAAGAATGAAACCAGGGTTATTTTGACTCACTGTTAATAGTTGGAAAGTTTGAATTGAATGGAGCAGAGAGGGTAGTTAACCTATTTAAAGCATTTGGCAGGCCACATTGTTAGTGAAGGCAAAGCAGAATTGTCCGCAGGTGCCCACTTGGAGAAATGGTGGCTAGATACCCTGTCTTTGCCCATCCAACCTTTGCAGGCACGCATACAGCCACATCCAGAACTCAGAGCTTTTGAGTCAGTAGGGACTTTCCTTCCAAGCAAATAGAAATCTACATTTTCACATTGGATGGATGCTGGAGGCTGAATGTATCTCTTCGGAATACAGACAGGCGCACTTAAGTTTACCTGCCCACCCCCAAAACTGGGCTCCCCATCTCCTGAGCCCAGCAAGGAGGCTGAGGAACCTTATAACTACTTCATTCACTTCCTGTTGAATTCAGCCCTGAACTTCTCAAAGCCCAAAATAAACATGTAAAAAAACCCCAAGATTTTGTGAGAAAAACCATCAAATCCTGAACTTTCTCATGTAGCTGTCTAGCAGATTAAAAGGTAAGTAATCTTGACACTTTATTTTCTTCATCTGTAAAGCAAGATGAAAACAAAACCAATCTCATAGAAAAGGAGTTTGTCGGAAAGCTCATGGGCACCAAAATAAAAAAGCTATGTGCATGCAATGCCGTTAGAATATTACCTGGCAAAACACAAGTAATCAGTGCAGTTAAATGCGCAATGCCTATAGTTGTTACTCCTCATAGAATCACAAAATGACAGATTTGGAATGAGTCTTGCTCAATATGACCTAATTAACAGATTTCCTAAGTTCTTTTGCCAGTGTTAGGAAGAGCTAACCCAAATATGTTGGCAGGGTCTCATCCTTTCAGACAAGAACCATGCTGCCTTTCTCCAAGTAAAATAATGGCTCTCTGTGTCATCCTGCAGTGTGTGCACGGGGTTGTCTGAGTCTAGCTATGGGGAGTTATCTGAGAAAACAGTAAGACGAGATTCTCTGGCAGCAGAGTAGAAACATTGCATTTTACTGTTCTATATATCATGGTTTCAAAATTCAACCCCTTCCTTTCTAAACCTTTCATAAAAGCACATTGTTTTATTATTTTTTTATTAGTCTGCATTTCAGTGCACAACAATGACACGCTTCGTGGGTGGGAAGTCCAAGGACAGGACACACCTTCACTTTTTTCACATCTCCTTCCCACTCCCTCCCTCCAGCTCTTAGTCTTTTTCTCTTTGCAAAAGAGCAAAAATCCTTACTTTCTAATATCTTTTATTTAGCTCTTTATGTTTGGGGTTTCTCCTGTAAGAGAAAGCATCCGGTTGTTAAGCTTGCATCTGCCTTGCTTCACATAGTATCCATGTTCCTACCGACGACGGAAGTGCGTCCTTCCTTGTGGCAGAGCAGTACTGCCCTGCGTGTGCACGCCACATCTCCTGTCTGCTCAGTTGTCCTGATGGAAACGTAGGGCACTTCCAGGGTTAGCCATTACGAGCTGTGCTGCTGTAAACACTGGTGTGCACGGATCCCTGTGATACGATGACTTCAACCCTTTCGGGAGACACTCGGAAGGAGAAGGAGAATAGCGGGTCTAATGTAATTTCTATTTTTAGTTTTCTGTGCCATCTCCATACTGGTTGCCCTAGTTATATTCCCTGAGTGTAACAACCGTATTATTCATTTCCAAGATTTCTAATCCATTCTTTATGTCTGGTTCCTTTTCTTCAATTATGGGGCACTAGCCCTCTTTTCTCTCTCTGATAATAGAACATTTAATGATCACTTTAGGACATTACCATTTCAGTTTCCTTAGAGGTAAGTGCTCCCTCATTGGGCTGCTGGCTACCATGTAAGGTGGTTGCTTTCCTCCCGTTTTGTGAGTTCTGTCTGAGAGCCCGTCGTACATGGCAGTTTCTTTCTTT